AACTAGCATCCTAAAACATGTCAGATGTGTAAGAGGGTAAGAAGGCAAGAATGGAGTTTGAGAATCAAACCTAAAACCTTTTTTTATTTTGTTGCTATCATTGACATTCTTCCACCAAATGTCATCTTGTTGCCAGTGAAGAGCGGCTTGATTAGTTGATATCTTAGAGCTTGCATATGACTGGCTTTATTAGCTAGTAATTATACTTTATGCTATTATTATACTTTGCTATCAACAGTTTGTGTGTTGCTCTGTCATTATTGCAGCTTTGTCATAAACACCAGCTCATTACATCATTCTCCCCTCTCATGCTCACCTATACCTCAGAGCTATGTGAACCTTGCCATCATTGAATCAGAATTTTTCTATTACTTAACAAAATTCCATGTTCATAAACATGCTGCTGTTTACATGCATCACTCCTCAGTTGTTCTAGTTCTTTTTAGCTCAACCAGAAACCGGATTCTCATTGTCCCTTCAAAGCGTCCATAAAGTGCCAAGATAGCTGTGGGTAACACATGTGATGAACCAGCAAAACTGGGGCCTAACTTCCTCAGCTGGTGACACAAATTACAGTTCACACATATTTTGTACATCCCTGTCTGTGCAATCGGCAGTCGTGCATTTTTGCTTCCTTCCTGTTTGGCCCTTCAGTGATGGGAGTTTGTGACGTTTGTGCATCTGTTTCAGGCTACCAGGCAGTTTCTGGAGGAAATCAACAAGTGGACCAGTCAGCATGGAGTGTCACCGCTGTCCAGGGAGTTGGCCGTCAAGTTCCTCATGGCTCGCAAGTTTGATGTCCTCCGAGCCATCGAGCTATTCCACAGCTATAGGGTAAGGAGAGATGGACAGAATTAGATCAAAACAAATTTGTAGCTGCTTATGTATACACAACACTGGAATGTTGAACAGCTGAACGACTTGTCCCAGAGAGATTGCTGCTTCTTTAGATTTTGTTATTGATATTTTGTGTTTAACGTCAACATGTTGAAACACAGACAACTCGTAAAAGAGGTCACAAAAATGTATGCTATTTGTGACATGCCTGAGTTTTAGTACCATTATCAAACAACATTTTTTACAATGCCTAATTTGGGCACTATAACCACATTTTACACACTTCTTTTCCATAATAGACACTTATTAATACTCAGTGCTACTGAAGCATTTTGCTTGTACTCTTTATGTACTGAGTATTTGAGAAGATGATACCAGGTCATACTAAGATTCTGAATGTCACATAGCCTCAGACTATTATCTTGTCTCATCCCTCTTCACCATGCAAATAGTTTTTTTTTTTTTTTTTTTTATAGACTATTAGCTATTTTTCAGCTGAGCTCAAGCTCACGAGTAGGTGAACAGTCAAACCACAGCTAAAAAAGCCCAAAGGTCTTTGCTTTAAGTGGTTCAGATTATCTGACACATCTCGAGATATAATTTTATAACTGCTTTGGGTCTAGCTTTCAGTCTTCTAAATATAGAAGCATATGTTCTTCATCACATCATTTTCTATTTCAGCATTATCAAAATAATCTACACCCACACTGGAACAATCATTCATGTTGTCCTAACCTTTTACCGTTATTTTCCACAGAATTATATTGTTTTAGCCTGTTGTTCGGTTAATTGTGTTACAAGTTGGTTCTGGCATGTAACTGCAGTTTATTACCTTTGTGATGTGTTCAGATGGACATAAATAACTGAAGACGTATTACAGAGGACAGAGAATAAACGCAGTACATGTTATATTTGGTCCATGTGAAATCTGTATGCAGCAAATGCAAAAGTATTCAATTTAATTTTCAAAGCAAAAGATGGTAGTCAAACAACACAGGTTGATCGTGAGGTACCACACCCACAGCACAGTTCCCCAAGGCCTTTTTCATTGAACGAATTTTCTCAGAAGCCCTAGCCAAGTGAGAAATTGCCCTAAGAGATGCATTAGAAAAACCGGGGGGATATTTCAAGAAGAAGCATGCAGGCTGATTCAGCTTTCCTGAGGGCTTGAAGTTTCTCACGAAAGAAATGCTAATGATGTAATCAGAAAAGGGCATTGCTTTGGTGGCTGAGGTTATGAGGCTAGCAGTAATGAGGAAGGACATGTCAGGCCTGTCTGTAAAAGAAATGTAGAATAGGATGTTTTCGATGTATACATAAGTTTAAACGTGGTTTCCTTGTACAGGAGCTTATTTATTCAGTAGGATCATTTCAGGCATTAAAGATGCACAGCATTGCTGATCTCCTTTTAGTTTCCTGTTTGTTTGCTGTGCTCTTAACCACTTCCCTGGGGAGAAGTGTACACTGAAGCAGGTCCAAGTTTAAAACATGCAATTGAGTATGTCTATAGTAGCTAGCTCTGGCTGCTACATAGAGGTCATAGAGAGGTCACATGACTGTGCAACACAGAATAGAGTGAGGACTCACTGAAGTAAGGATTTAATAAAATGTAGCAGAGAGAGACTTCTCACTACATGGAATATCACTGGGAATTTTAGTGATATTACTATCAAACTGGCAAATGATGACCAAACCTGGGCAGGTGCAGTGGATCAGACTACAGGTCCCATTTACCTTATGATCTAAAATAACATGTACATAATAACATAATCAAGACATTCTCTTTCGAACTACGTAATAACTACCAGTATAACATTTATCCCTAAATGGTCTGTAATGCTGTAAAATCAGAACATACATAATGGGATTTATCTGGTCTGATCTTCTCCAGTTTATCCCCTGCAGCAAATGGAAAGTTCCAGACATCTCGCACAGACTCTAATGACCTAAATAGCTTCAAGACGTGGCAGGATTTTACTTCCTACCTCTTCACAAGATGGGTTCTTATTTCAGCAATGAATAGTTAGTCTGCGTAAACACAACTCATTTATCAATGCCTAGAATGTGACTTTGGGAAGGATAAGCCTCCCCTGCCATGCCACAGTTCGTTTAACTCAGTTTAATGTTGTGTCAGCACCAGGGCAGCGACTGGGGACAAGTAATTTGTCTGAACAAACTGAAGGAGAAAAGTTTCCAATGCCTGTTTGGCTGGGTGTTGGCAGTCCACAAACAGGCCAAACTGGCATTTAAACGGGAGATTGGTGTAGGACCTGGCGTAAAAACTCTATATTGTATCAACTACTCTAACTGCTACATGCGTAGTTTCAGATAGTACTCAGTTCTCCATCCTTTGACACAGATTTAAGAACTGAACAGTATTGGTTGTATGACAAAAAACTTTCTTGGTAATTTAAATCCAATTAGCACCGAGAGCAGTGTCTAACATAACATGATGTTACCATCAAATGCAGGGATGCTTTTATTAACACATCTTTCTGTCAGTCTTTATGTTAGCATTATTATTTTAAAGACGTTAAAAAGGGTCAATCAAATGACAAACTTCAGAGACTCTGAAGTTCCCCTCAGCTCCATGGAGTATTTTAGCATCTTTCAGTTTGTTGTTTTGTTTTATGACCCACACCTTTGCATTCACTTGCTTTGTTTCCAGCACTGATAAACCCACTGTACACCACCTATTGTATGGAACACCAAAAGGCAGAATGTTAGCTACTAGCCGTTCATCTCAGCGGAGCCACACAGGAGTTAGTGAAGACCAAATCAGAGCTAAAAAAAAGAGAGAATATTTATCTTGCAGTTATCAGACAGACACAAACACAACTTCAAATGCTCATGTTGCTCCAGAATTTCTGAATGTGCAACTTTGTGGTAAGAAGAGCTCCATGTCAACATGAAAGGTGATGTGTTTACACTTTTCTGCTGCCCCCAAGTGGCCCAAAATGACGCAGGTTTAACGTAATATTATGCTAGTGTTCTTATCTCATGGTTGTGTTTTTTTTTTGTTTTTTTTTTTTATCTTTTTGCCCATTTATTTGTCCATGGATTGCTTGTAAAATGAAATGCATTGTCATGACCCCCTTGAATATGTTCTTGCAAAATATACATTTGACATTTTACAGGATGTCCTGGCTTCACTTCCCGTGAAAACCTTCCTTTAATGGAAGAAACTTCCGACAGGCCCTGGCTCTTGGTGGGCAGCCTTCTGGCCCCATAGTTTTGTATTATTAAAAATAAGAAAATCAGTCAATGAAACTGTAAATGGAAGTGACACCTCCCAAGACTGGCCTCAGTAAGTTCATGATCTCCCTCACAACCTCCTCTGGAGAGGGCAAAGGGGGATGGAGACATTACAGAAAGGGATTGTCTTGACAGGCGTGTAAGAACAACCCCAGGTTTCTTTTCAGCACTGTAGCCAGGCTGACAAAGAGCCACAGTGCTGTTGAGCTTAACATTCCCTTAGATCTCAGCAGTAATGACTTCATGAGCTTCTTTACAAATAAAAACACAACTATTAGAGAAAAAAATTGGTCGGACCACTCCCACAGCTCTCGCAGATGTGCCATCTACTACAATGGCTTTAGAAACATCTGTAAGACCTCATTTATACTTGGACTACTTCTCTCCCATAGATCTCTCTGAGTTGACCTCAACAATTGCTTCATCTAAATCATCAACATGTCTCCTAGACCCCATCCCGACAAGGCTGCTCAAAGACGTCTTTCCCCTAATCAACACATCCATACTAGATCTGATTAACCTCTCTCTATTAACAGGTTATGCTCCACGGGCTTTTAAGGTTGCAGTAATTAAACCTCTACTCAAAAAGCCTACTCTTGACCCAGGTGTCCTAGCTAATTATAAATGGACTGTATTTTATATAGCGCTTTCTCACAGTGTGTTGCACTGGCCAAAGCACTTTACAGAAGATCATACACCATTCACACACCGGT